CGTTTTCTTGAGTATCCTCCTCCTTTGTTTGAAAACCAAATAAATACGGGCCACACAGAGAAGTCTTTGGCTAAACTCAGAGAATACTGAAGTTGTAAAAGAGTTAGTCCCTCCTGGAGCCCTAAAATCATTTCCATTGTCTCATTTATTTAAGCCTTTGCCATCCACTCGCTTGGGAGATTGCGGGACTGATCGCCTGCAATAACTAAGGGTTATTTAACCTGATTTTCGATAGAAGATTAAAATGCAATCTTTATTCTCAGCAAGGTGAAAAAACTGGCAAGTTACGCTTATTTCCCCCGAGTTTCTTTCTTTTATTTTATTGATTGATTGACTGATACTGGGAATCAAAGTCTTGTGCCGCTGAGCTATATTCCCAGCCCGCTCCCTAGTTTCTTTAAAGCTACACTGCAGCTGGGTGTGCGCCTGTGGTGGAACATTACCTATCTAATCTACCCTGTGAGCTTTGTACAGAAAACAGCATGCATCATCTAACAGCTTGACACATCCCGAAGAACATCACGTCACAAGTTTCTTTCAAGAAAAAGCATACTTTATCCGATCTCATTGACCACTAAGATTAATCTTACATATTTGTTCATCCACTTTCCCTGAAAGGCAGGTTTCTGGCAGCGCCAGGGGCACTGGGCCTTTAGAACAAGAACATCACCGTCAGTATACAACAGCACGGGGCATCCTTAGCACTGAGGAGGCCGCCTGGCCCAGCGACAGCATCCTGGACGACACTCCCAGGCCCTTCCACGCTGACACCGAACCTGAACCTCGGCCCCTCGCGGCCTTCCTGCAGCGCAAAGAACGCTTCCCTCCCCCACGTTCCTTGACTTAGGGCGAATTCCCTTAGCACCTAGCGAGGCAGAATGCCAAGCCAGCACTAGCAGCTGATTACAGCAGAGAACGAACGAAACAATACCTAAGGCGTTCAAGCAGTGTAACCAGGACGCACGCCGAGCCGAGGCGGCGACACTCGCACTGCGCATCCACCGCCGTCCCCCGAGGCGGAGTCGAGGAAGCCGCGGGACGAGTAGCTCCTCCTAGTGCCTGAGCTGTCGGGCAACCCTTCCGCCCGCTCCCCGCAGCTGCACCTGCTTGCCCGGGCGAGTCGCTCGACCCCGTCCAAAGCAACGCTAACGCGGCTCACCAATGGCTAACCCGTGCGGGAACGCAATTACCTGTGTGGTGGTAGGAAAACAACGGGGCTGGGACTACATTTCCCAAGATGCCCCGCGAGGCGCGCAGGTTTGTGTCCCGGGCGATCCTCAGTAGGCGGGGCCCGGGAGGGTTTTTGACGGGCCTTTGACTTTGCGCGCATGCTGAACTGGTGGGTAGTGCGAGCCTGAGTGCGTAGGCGACAGGGCCGTCGCGTGCTTGACGTCAGCCGCGCGCTGCTTGGACGAGGCAGGCGGCCGGGTTGGTGGGGCGCTGCGGCTTTGCGCCCCCCTTGCGGCGGTCTGGTGTGGCTCTGGCGAGTGGCGCGCGCCCAGGGCCGTATCCTGGTTCTCGCTCGCTTTGCCGCGGCCGCTGCCTCAGTTCTGGGCCGTCCGCCGGATCTCGTGGAGCCCCCTGCAGGTACACGCGGGGCGCCGCGCTGTTGTGGGCTCGCTGTCACGCGCGCGACGGCATTCTCAGGCGTCTGTGCTCCGCGGGCACAGGCGTGTCTCGGCGGCTGTCCCCGAGCTCTCCCGGGCCCTGCGGGCGGGGACGGGGCTGTGCGGCCTGTGGCGGGCGTGGGCTGAGCCTACTTTGAGGTCCAGGTTTCCTCTGAGGCTTGCATCCCATCCCGAGCTGACCTTGAAGTTTCTACAAGGCCTCCCTGGCGTCAGCTGAAAGGATGGTCTCTTTGTTAGAGGAGGGCAGTTCTTAATAGTGCGAAGAAGTCCAACGTGGTTTTTAAAAAATACACACTATTGGCCGAGCATGGTGTCACACACCTGGAGTCCCAGCGCTCTGGGAGGCTGAGGCAGGCTGAGGCAAGGAGGGTTGCAAGTTGGAGACCAGACTTAGAGACCCCCGTCTCAAAATAAAATCTCTGAGGATGTAGCTGAGTGCAAAGATTTTGGGTTCAATCCCAAAATACACCAAAGATAAATAAAAAGTAAAAGAAAATGCATCATCAGATTGTGTTTGTAGTTATGTGCCACATTCATTTAGCAAATAGTTCTACTTTTAATAAGTTTGATGGCAGAAATGGGAAGGATAGATTTCTATTTCTTGGTCTAATCTTTTTAAATTTTTTTTTTGTTGTTTGGGAATCGAACTCAGGACCTTGCACTTGCCAGGCAGGCACTTGTGCTGCTCAGCTATATCCCCGGTCCACTCTTAGTCTGACCTTGAAAAATATATTTTAAAGACCTTTTCGCATATTATTGTATTTACGAGTCTCCTTCTCATCAGTACTTTCAGTTAAGGTCAAGCAGAATTGTGTGGTCTTAAAAAAGAAAATAAAGTTTGTGTCTGTAGTTCCTAGCTTCCTCATCTTAAGCTTTTTATAAGCAATCAGATTTACTGAAAGTGTGTGCTTAAACTACTTTTGTTTTCAGGGACGACTTTTAAGTTTAATTTTTATGTTTTGGACACTAGATTCTTTAAACTAATCACATGATTACTATGTCATCTAACATCTAATGTGTCAAAGATAAACTTAGTATTAATAATGCATATATAGATGCCACCGAAAGTGTATGGTGGTAAAGAATCTTAAATCTAGGTATAAATTAATAACAGAAAGAGGTGAGAGAGAGAAAATATGTCACACAGAATGCTAGTCAGTAAGTGTTAGAGGTGTTCCCTGTAGCTGGTAAACTGAGAACTACACAGCAGAACTCCCCAGCCCCTTTTAAACCACCTCTGCATTGACCTATTTTTATGCAGAACTGCTCCTTTTCTGTTTCAGAGTTGTTGCTCCATTTTGCAGAGCCTCCTGAACAGTGAGGCTCCTGCCTCTTCAAAAAATATCCTTCATTTGTTCTTTTGTTCTTCAGCTTAGTGGCTATTTCTTGAGCTCTTGCCATTTGCCAGTTGCAAGGGCAAGGAGTCACAGTACAATTCGTAAATTAATGCAGGATGTCTCTTCGTCAGTGTTGTGTGTAAGCATTGCCTCAAAGTTCTGCTTAGGACATTATTTAGATATGAGACTTACCTTCTAGAAAAGAAATTATAAAACTTTTAAAAATTAAAGGAGTTTAAAAATTATTAAGATAATTTAAATCACCAACATGTATAAGAAAGTTAACAACCATCAAGTTGAAGTGACTGGAAAAGGAAACATATTAATAGATTGCCTTACTGCCCTCCATTACAAGTTAGCACAAACCTTTATAAAAACGTTTATTCATAATAGGAAGATGCCTAATGTTAATTTTAACTAGAAATATGTGTGCATTTGACTTTATTTATTTTTTGCTTTTTGACACAGGGTCTTTCTGTAGTTCAGGCTGGCTTTGAACTCATGTGAACCTCTTGCCTTAGCCTCCCAGGTGCTGAGATTATTGGTATGTGCCACCTCTCGGCAAATATATATGAATTTTATGGAAGCACTTAAAAGCCTTTCTAGCAGATGTAAAATAAGAATAAAGGATAAATAAGAATGAAAAGTTTAGTTTTAAATTGTCAAGAAAATCCAACAATTTTTTTTAAAGAACCCTGATGAGCCCTATATCTTCATGCCTTGTAAAATTGTTATAGAAGTGATTCATTCCTTTTCTTTACAGTTTGACTAGAAAATAGTCTCTTAAGGAGAAATAGAAGTAATAGATTTCCCTTTTTGGGTAGTCCTGGGGATTGAACCCAGGGCCTTCACACCAAGCTACATCCCCAACCTCTTTGTAATTTTTTATATTGAGGACAAGTCTCACTAAGTCACTAAATTGCCCAGACTTGGACAGAACTTGAGATCCTCCTGCCTCCGTCTCCCAGCATGCTAAAATTAGAGTTGTGCACCACAATGCCAAGCTTGATTTCCATCAGGTAATTTAAGCACCAAAGCCTTAAAATAACATGTAATAATAACATATAGTTCAAATAACATTTTAAGTTTTTAAATCATTGTTTTAAGGGGAAAATTTTTCATACTGTCAGCATTTTTGTTCTGCCTATATTGTTCTTTGACCTGCAGTACTCTTCCTAGCATGTCTCATGTGAGCCATGGCTCTTCAGTTTCCAACTGTGTGTGTGTATGTGGGGGGTGTATTGACTGCTTTTTCACTCTGTGTATATCTCTTTGACTTGGAGTGAACATCTAAGAGCATTTTTGCTTCTTTCTGCACAATACCTTTCTCCTGTTTGATCCTCATTGTGAAAATTGAACATACAGCTAATTTGAGAGTATTTTACATTAAATACTTATCCACCCCCAATCTAGACCTACCATTGTATTATTTACATTTCAATGTAAAATGCAGTCTTGGGTACACTTTGCCCCAAAGCTTGAGAACACACTTTTTTTTCCCTTTTTTTGCAATGCTGGGGATCAAACATGCTAGGCAAACACTGTGCAACCTGAGCTACATTCCAAGCCACAATGCGTGTGTATTACTAACTAAAATCCAATAGTTGTTTGTTTTGATGTAAAATTTACATAAAGGGTACAAATCCTATGTCATTGCTATTTGAGTAGGTGCATGATCTTTGCTTTTTGTGTTATTAAATATATTTTGGCCATTTCTGCTGGCTCCAGAGTTTTAACTTTGTGGCTGTTGAGTACTTTTTACTGATCACTCCTTGACTTTTGCAAATTCTTATCAAACAGTGGTAAACTTAGAATTTGGAGAGATCTTTGTTGTCTTTTATTAAGAAGCATGTCGTCTGTATGTCTGAGTGAAACAGTCTTGGCTTGCCCTTACTAGTTCCCGCACTAGCCCTCAGGTACTGGGTGTTCAAAACTAAGATAGTGGGGAGCAGACAAGGTAACGTGGGTTCTGGTGAGGCACTGGCAGATACCAGAGTGAGTGGATGTAAAGTGTAGGGCACTGTGCTAACCTCTTTCAAGGATGCAGAAGCAGATTGTCCCAATTCTCATTATCCTATAAGACAAATATTAGTGTAAAGCCAAGTGTTGAAGAATGGGAAAAGTGCTCCATAATTACTGATGAGGGGGAGATGGGAAGGCTTCATGGAAAAGATAGTATTTAAGAGAGCGCCCTGGAGTGTCTGGGACAGGTTGAGTAGTTGTCAAGACTCAGAATGCAGACAGTTGTGGCATCTCTTTGCTAAGTGATTTGATTGGAGAAGGTTGTGCAACCACTTCGTCTCGGGTGGTGACTTTCAGAGTCCTTTTGCTGGTACTTGAAGCATGTAAAGTCCACCTCTGCCCTTATAGTAGGCAAAATAGGCCCAAAGATGTCCTGAGAACCTGTCAACATTGTATGTGGCAAAAAGAAAATTGCAGATGTGACTCAAAAGGACTTTAAAATGGAGAAAGATTACCATGGATTATTTCAGTGGACCTAGAGTAATCTCAGGGGCACTAAAAAGTGGCAGAGAGGGGCAGAAGGTGAGCGTTGGGGGAATGTGACTAGCAGAGAGGCACAAAAAGCTGTGTTACCTCCAGCTGTGGTGATGAGGGCACAACCAAGGAATGAGATGCCTCTACAGGCTGTGTGTATGTTGGGGGAGGGTTGCAGATCCTGCCCTGGAAGCTGCACAAGACTGAGCCCTGTCAGACCTCCAACTCCAGAACTGAGGTTGTAAATGGGTCCCATTTAAAGCCATGCAGTGTGCTGGTTGGTTATGGCGGCAGTAGAAAACTAGTGTAGACCCCTGTTCTCAGGACTGTACAACACAGAAGAGGGGCCTCTTTTCTCCTCTTTGTCTTCTCACTGACTCAGAAGAAGAAAAGAATGGTTGTAAATTAAATATTTGTTTTTGGTTGCCACATGTGGTAGAAAATGCAGGCCTTATTGTAACATTCATATTCTCATATTCAATTATCATGTTTGTCTTCAAGAAGATTTTACCTCTGAAGGTAAAATTTTACCTTTGAAGGTAAAAATTCCCTCTTTGTAAATTTAAAGGTCATGGTGTGGAATGGTGTTGGCTGTGCAGGGTCATAGAATTTGACCCCGTTTTGTATTGTTCATATTCCTAAGAGAGCCTTCTAGGTTGGGGACCTTTGACTGCTGTTGTGAGCTACCTGAATGCCTTTTGATCTTGGTGTTTACCTTATAGACATCCTTCATAGTTTGCCCTGTCTTAGTGGGAAGATTATTGGATTCCAGAGGACCAGAACTGCTGCTTATCTTTTTTTTTGTTTCCTAAACTGCAGTGACCAAATAGGAAGATGGGCTCTGAGCTCCCTGGTGAAACCCAGGAAAAGGGTGCTCCCCGAAGGCCAAGATCCATTATGCTTCTGCAGCCAAAAGCGGGAAAATAGTAATGCTGAACATCGCCAGGCAGAGGATTTGGAGCAGCTTTCCTCTGAGGGTTGCAGTTTTCTAGGACTTTGCTGTGTGAGCCAAGCCTTCCTCAGGCTTGATGTTCTCTTCCGGTGCCCTTCACAGCACACTGCCTGTGCCATCCACTCCTGGGCATCTGTGACTTCCCCAAACAGTGTAGCCCCTGGAGCATTAAGC